AAAAAAAAAAAAAAAAAAAAAAAAAAAAAAAAAAAAAACAAAAAAAAAAAAACGAAAAATTAAAAACGTCGGCTAAAAAAAAAACCAAAATTTATTTGAAACGATTCTTGAGCCAAGAAATTTTTTTTCTGGACAAAAAAATTTTTTTTTCTCAGTGTAGTAGCTAGAAAAATTCAGATTATACTCATTGTTATCTGGATTATACTGCGTGATATTTGAATTATAAACTATCTAAATTTTTTTTTTCACTTAGTATAATTTAGAATGATATCCAGTGTCATCTTATTCTTTCTGTGTATAAACGAAAAATTACTGTCTTATTTTCATTTAAATATTAATTATAAATTAGCTCGTTAAAATAACTTTAATATTCATTATTCAACTTTAGCTAAACCAAAACTGCTGTTTACTGCTCTTTAAACAATCAAAATGCGTTACCTATAATAACTCATTAATTGTTATAATTTATATTAAACATTATTGTCATTATTTTTGTTTTTTAGTCATTACCTTTAAATGTAAATATAACAATGACAAAATTATATTTTTAATTATGACAAATTCGGTATCTATAGTTAATGGCAAATTTTCTATTTTATCCAATGGCACATTTTTTAAAAATTATTTTTAATAAATTTGAGCTATCGTTAAAATGCGAGTTAAAATTTACAGGTATAAATATTGTAATTTATAGTTCATAATTGATATTTAGATTACTATTATTATAATTATTAATGTTAATATTATTATTATTATCGTAATAATTAAATAATTATTAAAACAATGTTGAAGTAAATTTATCAGACGATACTGTTGTAATTCAAACGTTTGTTTTTTCTTGAATCGTTTCCTCTGAACAGTTTCTGAACATAAATAAACAAAATAAAATTTTATATATTATTCAACAGCTAATTAGTAATTAACGTTTGGAATTATCGATGTTGGTGAATCGAATCCAGATGTAATTAGCCAATTACGATTTAAAGCAGTCAATTATAAAGCAGTTTTGGAGGCAAAGAGCTGTATGATGAATTTGTTAATTAACTTGCACGAGTAATTACGCAGTCTGTTATATCACTATTTCTAATACTATTTTTTTTTAATTCTTAATTACTTGCAATATAAATATACAAATATAAGGCACTTAAATTATTGTTATCGTTGTTTGATATTAATTTTATTAGCTTAATCAGAAAAACACTTAGAAAACCATCCAAACCGGTGCTCTATGTATAATATATAAATAATTGTTTATAATAAACATAAAAAGCAGTCGATAATAAATAATTAAAATAAAAGTTAATACCAATTAATTTTTTGTTATTATTTAAATTTGTATACGATTGACGATAGAATTAAATAATAATAATTTAATGCTTATGATTAAATTTTTAATAATTTTTAAAGCGCAGGTGTTATACAAGCGAGTGATGATATGTATCTCGCGATTTAGAAAATTTTATAAAAATAATTACAACCTTCGTAATGAAGCCATACTCAAGGAGCTGCACTTAGCCTTTCTGGTCGGCTGAACCGACATCGGAGCTACAAGAACTTCATCTCTAGACGGCGAATCTGTACCACCATTGCCCAGTTCCTAAAAGAGATATTAAAATTTTTTTTTTTTTTAATCATTATTTATAATATATATTTTATAATTTAAGAAATGTACTAATTTTTGTACAATGCCGACTGGCGTTCAAATGAATAAATAATAATTTAAGAGAGACTTTTGATCTGATGCCCTGATTTTTGAGCATTTTTTTGATATTTTTTTGTCAAGACCAATAAAGTGATAGAACTTTGAACTTTTTACCATTTATTTATATATATTTCAAGAGTATACAGTTAAATTTTTAGCTAAAAATATTCAATAGAATTAAAGTTATAGTGATCAAAAAAAAAAATTTTGAAAATTGCATTTTTGACAAACTTCAGAACAAAAAAGTCCTAATTTTATTTTTTTTTGTTAACTTTTCGATACAAAAAAAAAAGAAATTTTCAAAAATTTTTTTTATCGTAATTCACTCGCTGTATTTACCCAAGGGGCACAAATTTTTTTTTGATAATGTTTTGTTAAATTTAAGTTGACAATTATAAATTTCTGACTTCTTGCTAAGTAAAATCTCCCAAAAAGTCAACATTAAAATTAATTTTTTTATCGTAATTCACTCGCTGTATTTACCCAAGGGGCACAAATTTTTTTTTGATAATGTTTTGTTAAATTTAAGTTGACAATTATAAATTTCTGACTTCTTGCTAAGTAAAATCTCCCAAAAAGTCAACATTTTTTTTTTTTTGTGACTTTATGAATTTATATTAATAAACCATTAAAAACTCAATTTGTTTTAATAAAAATTTTTTAAATTAATTTAAATGTTAACTGGCCAAAAATGGTACATCTACCCTAACTTTAATTCTACTGAATATTTTTAGCTAAAAATTTAACTGTATACTCTTGAAATATGTATAAATAAATAGTAAAAAGTTCAAAGTTCTATCTCTTCATTGGTCTTTACAAAAAAATCTCCAAAATCAAGACATCAGACCAAAGAACTAAATAAATAAAATAGTTGCATAATTGTTAATCAACCAACCCAAAAAATTAAAATCAAACATTAAAAATTTAAGAATAAAGTACTCACTTGTAACTTGACGATATTTATCCTGATACTATAGTATTTGCATGATAACAGGTTAAATATATCGCCAGATTAGTTGCATGGTTAATATATAAAAGTGCATTCATTTTAAAGTTATTAAAGATAAATATTTATTGTGTGTTATTTTAAATTAACAAAGCAATCAAACTCACTCGGTTACAAAAAAAAAATTGAATAAAAATAGCGAGTTAAAGTTGTTAGAGATCAAGCTAAGCAGAAAAACGTTTTAAATAAATTTTACATTGCTATGTAAAATAATAGTAAATTGTAATCAATAAATTAACTAACGTTAATATTATTACAACTTGCCAAACGCATTTGAGCAAGTTGCTGGCTCGCTGGTGTAAGGCTGTTCGTTGATCCGAAAGGCGACATCATCGTGGACATGGCTCTTTTTAATTTGCTCGGCGTTTTATTGAAGCTGAATGCTCTGCCAACTTTCATCCTGGTACGCGATGCAAACCTGATGTAAAAAAAAATTATCATTATTATTGTTGTAATTATTGTTGTTATTAAATGTATATGTATGGATGTAACTATATATACATGGACTAGTATACATCATTCATTATTTTAATGGATATTATATTTCACAGCATAAATTCACTTGCAACCTCAAAATTATTAATTAACAAGCACAACTTTTTGTTTTATCCTTCAACGAATAATTCTCCGTGAAATAAATTCAAAAGTTTGTTCAACTCACTGGTGCGTGCTTTAATATTTTAAAATACCATGCCAATGCGGTTAATTGTACTATATTATTTAATTTTGTAAAGAAAAATTGTAGTGATGGTAATAATAAAAATAACAGTGAGTAAAAATTAATTAAAAACAAAAAAAAAAAAAAAAAAACATTAAAAACCGTCAAATTAAGGGGTTACATAGGTTTTAAAAAATCGATTTTTTTCTTAACTATTGACACTTTTAAAGATATAAGGTATTACACTCATCAAGAGCTTTCATTTGAGTACCCACATGCATGTTTGATATATTTTTCATATATATATATGAAAAATTGATGTGGGTACTCAAATGAAAGGTCTTGATGAGTATAATGTCGGAGTGAGCTTATATCTTAAAAGATGTCAATAGTTCTTAAGAGACAAAGTCATTTCTTAATTATGTATCTAGAGTATATCTTTGAGACAGTAAAAAGTTTGAATAAAAATATTTAATTTTTTCTATTAAAAAAAAATTATTTAAAATAGGGCGTTTTTCCCCGGAGGAAACCTATGTAACCCCTTAATGGCAAAGTAAAAAATAAAATAATATATTAAAAATAGGCTTAACGGTATTGGGACATGTAACGTAGTTTCACACATGCTATTGAGTAGGAACACATACGGATCCATATACTCCAGGTAAAAATTATGAAATAGGCTCCTGCAACCAAACGTCACGGTGTCCCATTATTGTTCCGTACCCATGCATTATAAGAAAGAAAAAATTACCATTAAAATAATTATTTTTAAAAGTAAATTTTAATAATTATTCTTTTATTTAAATGTCTATCTCGAAGCAACTTTTAAGGAAAAAAATAAAATAAAATAAAGTGCGATCTAATCTACTGCTGAACATTTACTTTTGTGATATTATAATAAATTATACTCACTTAAATGCTTTACTTAATGTCCCCAGTGCGACGTCACTGGTATCGATTTCAAGTTGATGTGAATCGAGACTTATAAGGAAAGTATCCTGCAAAAAATAAAAAAAACTTTTTCAATAATTCCACTGCTTGTAGACGTTAATGGAATTTAAAATAAAAACTAAAAAGTTAATAAGTTAAGTATACTTACGGCATCGGCTTTGCAAACTGTATTGGCCATTTGTCTGCACAAAGTCCGTAAATAATTACATTTATTTACTTCCTCGTCGGTTATCGTAAACGAGTACAGCTTTTCTTTCAATTCTTGATTATTTCTAACCATCAGGGCAAATACATTTTGACATTCTGTAAAATAAATTTTATTAGTAATTATTTTTTTTAAATTAATTTATCTATCACGTTACAAATACCATAAAAAGATGTGTTAATAATTAAAATAATAAAAAATAAAATAAATTTTTTAAATAAATTAAAAGTTTTGCAATTTTATTTTGAATTAATTATGAACTTATTTATATAAGTTAATTTATTTCTTCCCTTGAAAGCGTTAAAATATAAAGTAACCAACAAAAAAGTTTTTATAATTAAATTTAATTTTAATTCTTATAAAAAATATTTAGAAATATTTACATGAAGATTTTTATAAGTTCTTTTAAGTTTAGTTCATTCTTTTTTTTTGTCTGACTTTTTATCTGAATTAATTAAAAAAAAAAATAATAATAATAATAATAATTAATGTTCTGAAAAAATATTTTTTTAAATATTATTTTTGCAATTTACTATTTTTTGTTGGTCTTCTATTTTTTTTATTACTTTAAAATACAATAACTTTTTTTTATTTTTTCATTTTAAATATCGTACGGTGTTTTAAACTGATCATGCTTACTGAGTGTATTTTTTTCATTAATAACAATTAAACAACACTAAATAAGATAACCATCTTCAATGATAATCTCCGCAAAGTGGACGCCAAGCTAATAAAAAACTACTGATTGAATTGGTGAATTTTCGCACAAGTTATCGTGTTTCAAACGGAAAATTATGTTGATAGGAATTTTCTTTTAACTATTTTGATATTTTTTTCTGGTTCTATTATCTTGAATAAATTTTTACCAGTGACAGAATTAATCTCCATTAAATTATCTATCGAATGATGCGCAAATTAATTAGACTACGTGGATTACCAATCGTGTAATTAATTATTTGCGAAATCGAGGCAAAACAAATTTTTCGATCGTAAAGCACTCTCTGATGCTTCGCATCATGAGTCGTGCAATTACACACAAATAATTTGTACACTAACACTGATATATAATTATTAAATACAAAATATGTAAAAAACAAAAAAAAAGTAAACATATCAGTGAAGTTAATAACAAATTAAATTAATACAATCAAATTAATGAAAATAATTTCGAACGCTTACTACCCTTATAATGTTTACTACAACCCCCGATAAAAATCCCATATGGTCTCTGCAGGTGTCATACACTTTTACGGAATCAGTAACGTGATATTATATTAAAAGTAAAAAAAATAAAAATTCTTACCATCAGTTTCACGAATGTCCACCACTTTTTTAATGGTACTTAATGACAATAATTTAATATGTTTATATGGTTTACCCTGATTAAGTTTAACAGCATGTAATCCATTGACCGTATTAGGACTCTTGAGTGAATTAAAAGCCTTAGAACGTTTTTTACATATCTCAAGAGTATCAGTGAATAAAAATAAAACTAAATGATCGCCACGACCACTTAAACCTTCACTCAGTTCCATAACTTCACATTTACCGATAAACGAACGATGCGACGAGACTAGATGGGGCGGACAGTTGTCTATTTCATTGAAGATATCAAACATAGCTAATTGACCTTCTGTTTTTCTTTTATCCTCATTAATATACGTCATTACCTCTTTAATACTACTGATTGACAGTTCTAAAGCACTGTGATCCGGATTATTTTTATTCGTGTGCTTAAGAATATCCGTTAATAATAAACTAATACTGGGTAATCGTTGTACAGGCTTTATCATTAATTCTTTCAAACTCTGTCTACCACACTCTGGTTTTGTTTGACATATCTTCAAGAATGCGTGAAATCGTGGTTTATTTTGATCGCACTGCTCCAACATTTCTTTTGTGTTCTCAAAAAAATTAACATACGGCGGATACGCTTTCATTAAATCCGGCGCATATTTTAAAAATATATTTCCTATACTTATGTCTTCAGTCCAGTGTGCCGCACTATATCGTAGCTCTTCTAACATTTTTTTGTGAACTTCGTATATCGGTGGAAAATTACCAAATATTATTTTAGCCTCTGTACTATTTAATAATTCGTTGCTTGTTTCGATGTAATCCTCCAAAGGCGATTTGAACAACTATTAAACAAAAAAATTAACAATCATTTTTATATCTATCTAAAATTTTTTCTATTAAATTAGCTTAAGGTAGTACGAGCGCTAGGCGGGGTGGAAATAGGTATCTACTCTAGCGCATTAAGGGGAAAGCAGTAACTTTTTTTTTTTTAATTAATACACTTTAATTAATCGGACAAGTGTAATTTTTTTTTTAATTAAATTTATCACTAATAATATTTACTTTCATCTTTAAGTTTTTCAAAGATATTCACCGACAATTTTACGAGAAAAATACAGAAATGTATCAATTAATGTTTGAAGATTACTCCATAAGACCAATGTTGAATTGCACAACTTCAAAGTTAATTATTATTTTTTTTTTTTTATTCATCGACCATGAATTCAAAACTTCTTGCGGTTGTCAATACAAAAATAATACATAGTATAGCATTTTATGAAAACAATAAAAATGAAAAATGTATGTAAAAATAAAAATTGAAAATTTAAATATGTTATTAAAGTCCAAATTATATGTGTGTGTGTGTGTGTAAATGGAAATAGATCACTCAACCTCATTGCAAATTGCATGTATTTATTTAAATAATCAGGCAATCTCTTTCAAATTTTGGGAATTTATTTAAACTTTATATTAAAAAAAAAATCAAGCCTTTCATCAAAAGTTGCCTTGGTGCTCGTACTACTTAAATAATTTATATAATTGCTAATTTTTATTATCATAATTAACCATGTTACTTACGGTCATTATTGTGCTAAGGATGCCAACGTAATTAGATTCTGTCTGTACTAATTCCAAAAACACTTGATGACGTGGCGATAAATTTTTACGAGCCGTTTCTGTATTTACTGCTTCTACTTCTGGAATATCTGTTAGTTAATACAATCTATTTATTTAATTATATTCATAATTTTATTAATTATTACCCTACCACAGTTAATTATCCGTGAACAAAATATCCGTCATTTAAATTCAAACAAATACTATTGAAAAATTTTTTTTTATTTTTCACAATTTAATTTTATTTTAATATCAAACCATTAATAGTAATTAATAAATTAAAATTTTAATTACCTATTTAACTATTATCTAATTATCTATTTAATAGTATTAGATAATTGCCATTAAAAGAACTATTATAATTTGGGGATATTTTGTTCTTCAAGCATTACTCCAGTTAAAGTAACTAATAATACATAATAAAAAATAATGATTATTATTATTACCATCTAGCATCTGCTTATCAGGACTCGCAGTGCAATCTAAGAAGCTTCCACTAACACTCAGATGACCTGCATCACTGATGCTGGATCTTCTTTTATGTACAGCCGGCGAATCGGCACCATTTTGCACCAGACTTGACAATGTTTCAGCAAGACGTTTGCGTTTTCTTCTAGTTGATGCTGTCGTTGGTGTCGCAGCTTGTTGACTATCTTTGCGTATTGATGCATTAGGTGATAGCATTGATTCCAGATACTACAACGCAAAAAAAATAATTTATTAGCATTACAATTATATATATATTTAAAAAAAAAAAAAAAAAAAAAAAAAAAAAATACTTACATCCTCAAAAAGATATTCTTTTTCATCAGCAGCGCCTTCATTTTGCACCGAAGTCCAAAACCACTCGGCTTTTACAATGTAAGCACGCACTGACGCCAAGTCGGGTAATGTATTGACATTAGATTCATCAACAACCTTTAAAAAAAATAAAATTTCACTTAGAAATATATTTACTATAAAAATAAAACAAATAACAAATAATAAACCAGGACGACACATGTAATGATTTTGCTTCCTATAGTAAAAAAAATAGTATTAATACGACATAGACAAGGACGGGGTTAATTAATGTCTTCACCAATAAATACCAGTGATAATCCCTAAATAACAAAAAAAAAAAAAAAAATAAATAAAGTACCATCCTAAATAGCCGATCCTCCTGCTTGTTGTATTTCTCTCTCAGTGAATCAGTATTACAGTCATCTGGTATGTTATCAATGAAATTACAGCCCTCAGAATGTTCGAATAAATTAGAAGCCGATGATGATAATTTATTTTTTTTAATTTCCATAGAAAGCGAGCCACATGATAACGATCGTTTGTTTTTAATTAGATTGACTTTATATGTGCCAGTGTTTAAATTTAAATCATTGCAAATATTATTATTTATGTGCATTGTGTGTTTAAATGATGGACCGAGTGTAATGTCTTGCAGTGAAGTTAATAATGAATTTCTACGGTAATTATATTTATTATAATGATAATGAGTTTGTAATGAAAACTGGCGATTAACGTGGAACGTTTTGGCTTTATCCTCGATTGTTAAATTCTCTTCGGGATATTTTTTAAACGACCCGTTGAATGATTGGGTTTTAGAGAATCGCGATTGATTCATCGTCATTTGCGGGAGTGAAAAACAAGATTTAAATTTCTTCCATTTAACGTAACGTCGTATACTTTGTGTTGTTCTAAGATCACTAGCTATCAATTTGCGATTATTTATTAAAGACGGTGAATTTTTAACTCTATAGGCAAGCGAGGGAGATTTTGAGGGTGAAGAGGCGCGGATTGATTCGCTTTGGAAGTCAAGCTCGTCAACAAAACCGGGAGAATCAGATCGAGAGTTAAAATCAAGAGATATTGGAGAGTCTTGACAGCTGATATCGTTAATACTGTTGGTGATAATATTAGCTGGATATTTATCGAAATTAACAGAGTCTAAAGTCATCAGTGAGCTGACACTGTTGATTCTACTGTTAATAGACTCGCAATCATCATCATTAGGGCCTATAGAGTGCAATTTAAAGGATTGTGAATCGTAATAAGTGAATGTTTTATTGTGACTAGGAGGTGAATTTTCATCTGAATAAGAGCTCAATTTTTTTTGCAGTTTTAGGTGATAGTCTTCGATGAGATAGTCCCTGTTTATGTCGATGATCTGGAGAAGTTAGTGTTACAACAATACAATGTTAAATTTCGTTGAATGGGATAATTTATAATTAGTAGTTTAATAATAAATAAAATTTTGAGTACTTACAACGTGACTACACTCAGGATCGTCAATTTCAGTGGGCTCGCCACCTTGTTGCTGTAACACTTCACACATATGTCTCTTTTCATCTTCCGGAAATCCGAAGAAACATACTCGTGCACCAAAAAATGGTTTTAACTTAAAATGATTTATCTGTGAGAAAAAAATTTTAAATGTAAATATTTAAAAAATAATTAGCAACTTTGCAGTCACTATGTGACTGCCGTGACTTGTATATTATAAATAAACAAAATTTTGGTTTATTAAACAATGACTTTTGTTAAATTGCACTGTATTTTTTTAACTATTGACGTTTTTAAAGATATAAGCTCATCCCGATGTTACACTCATCGAAAGCTTTCATTTGAGTACCCACATGCATTTTTGATATATTTTTCATATATACATATATATTATATAATATATATAAATATATGAAATATATGAAAAATTGATGTGGGTGCTCAAATGAAAGGTCCCGATGAGTATAATGTCAGGGTGAGCTTATATCTTTAAAAATGTCAATAGTTCATAAGATACAAGGTAGTTTCTTAATTATGTTATATTGCACTGTACTTTTTTAACTATTCACATTTTTAAAGATATAAGCTCATTTCGATGTTACACTCATTAAAAGCTTTCATTTGAGTACCCACATGCATTTTTTATATATTTTTCATATATACATATATATAATATATATAAATATATGAAAAATTGATGTGGGTACTCAAATGAAAGGACTCGATGAGTGTAATGTCAGGGTGAGCTTATATCTTTAAAAATATCAATAGTTCACAAGATACAATGTAATTTCTTATTTATGTTATCATCTAAAAACACTAGCCACAAAATTTTGCTCATTCTCTTAATAATATAGATTATTTTTAAAAGTGAATTAATTATAATGTATAATAATTATTAAGGACTTCATCTGTTCCGATAAGTAAAAAATAAAAATACAGCTCTAATAATTCTTCGCGGAATAAGTAATAATTTTATAAATAATATAAAAAAAAATCAACTTGTACTTTTGCTGTGGGATTATTTTTTAAATAAATTGATCGCAAAATAATTTTTTAATCCGAAACAAGTGAAGCTTCCTCTAGATTTTTATCAATATAAAAACATACCACGTCGTCATTGTTTCCATAACGTGTTGCGTCATTTTTAGCATCCCAAAGTGCAACAACCCAATTCATTGACATTATTGGCACCCTAAATGTAACAGCATATCTATATTTGTCACCACCACAACAATTAGCTATTAAATGAGTCACTTTAGCACCCATTTCTTTTCTAATACTACCACCCATACTGTGAATCATATTGATGAGCCTAGTCTGAAATTAATAAACAAATAATTTAATTATTTAGATAATAAAATGATTAGATAAACAAAAAAAAAAACTATTAATTACCAATTCATCTTTCTTTCTAAAGCCTGTAAATACTACAACGGTCCCCAACATTGATCTTGAGTACATCGGTCTATTGATACTCGGTAAAGATTCTTTTTTGTCCGCCAATTGGAGGAGAGCCGTAGGCCCGAGAATTCTGTTAAATTAAAAAAAAAATTATTATTAATTTCAAAAAATACTATTTAAATTACGATTTAAAAGTATCGTTGGAAGATTTTATTTGGAATTTATCACGCAACCTAAAAATACATGTAAACATCATACAAATAAAAATATTTAATAAAGCATTGTCGTCAAACTTAAAAAAATAATAATACTAATGTCAATATTAAAAATCTGTACGTGTGTCATAAGCATAATTAAATTAACTTGAAAAAGTTCAAAGACATTACATACATCTTTCAATTATTAATTAAAGCGTTGTATTTAGCTTGGATGAAAATTAATTTAGCCGATATTTAATAATTTTTTTAATAAATAAATTGCTGCATAAAAAAAATGGATATTTAGAAATTTTAATAAATTAAAAATGCAATTTTTTTTTAAATAATTTTTTTGTTAAATAAAATTAAAAAATTCCATAATTAGAAGTTATAAAAAATAAGAAATGCAATTTTTTTTTTTTTATGTGAATTAATTTAGCATATATTTAATGATTTTAAGAATTTTATAACAAATAAATTAATATTACAAAAATTAGCCGTTTTTAACTTTTAATTTTTTTTTTTTTTTTTAATAATTAAATTAAAACAAAAAAATATTTTTTTAAAATTGCACCAACAGTTCTTGAAGTTTTTTACAAATGAAATTTTTTTTTATTTTTTTGTAATAATTTTATCAATAAAAAAAAATTATAAAAATTTTTAAAAGTCGGCTAACTTAATTTTCATATAAATTATGGCAAAAAAAATTTAATTTTTTAAAAAGAATATTTTGGAACAAATTTTGTTTGTTAAATAAAATTAAAAAATGGTCAAAAGTGGCAGCTAACTTTAATATCATTTAGCTAGGATAATATAAAATCTAAATAATTAATTTACCTATGAGGGCTTTTGTGTAAGATTTCATATTCAGATCCTTCAAAATGCTTGAGCACAAAGTACGTACAATAAGTAGTATCGTCAATATACTCAGCTCCTGTTTCTGATTTTAGAACTGGGACACCAAACTTCTGAGCAGCAGTTCCTAGTGCTGGATCAGTGCTGGCCAAGCCCACTAAACATATTCTTTTTTTTCTCGGTAAATTTATTGCTGTAAACACAAAATAACATTTAATTTCTCTCTCTCTCTCTCCCTCTCTCTAATAAACATAAATAATAATAACAACAATAAAAATAATAATAAATAAACGGGTAATTATTTTTTCGATGATACGACAGTTTATGTTGTTAGCAACTCTGACGTAATTTTTAGTAGCTCCAATATGTCAAGGACGTTTACAAAAAGCTAAAAAATATATTCAATTTGCAGAATTTATTTTCAAGGGCATTAACAGCATACTGGACCATTGACCGCGCTACTGAAAATGATTCATTATAAAAACAATAATAATAATTATTATTATTGTTTAATTATTGTAATCATGATTAAAAATAGGAAATAATTTAATAATAATAAAGTTAGCCGACATTTTTTATTTTTTTATTTTACTTAATTTATTAAATTATATCTAAAAAATATTTTTAAAAAATTGCACTTATAGTTTTTAACAAATGAAAAAATTTTTTGTTAATTTTTTAATAAAAAATAATCATAAAATTTTTTAGATGTCGGCTAACTTTATTATCATAATAATTTTGATGATACTAAAGTTAGCCGACGTTTTTAATTATTTGATTTTTTTTTTAATAATTAAATTAAAACAGAAAAATATTTCTAAAAAATTGCACTTATAGTTTTTGAAGTTTTTTACAAGTGACATTTTTTAAAAAATTTTTTTGTAATAAATTTTTGAATAAAAAAAAATTCTAAAAATTTTCAAATGTCGGCTAACTTAATTTTCATTAATTTTGATGTGTTAAAATAAATTACAAAAAAAAAACACCCCTTATAAATAAGCAAATATTTAGGGGTTAGGACAGTTGATTGATAAATTTGAACTTGAGAATAAACGGCACAATAGCCGTGTGACGAAATGCAAGGCCAATTATTTATTATTTCGTCCGCTACATCTACGACTATAAATATATATAACTGAAATGAAAAAAAAATAATAATAAAAAAAAAAAAGTTTTTTTTTGTTCGTTGTTGATAAAACGTACGTTCAGTCTTAGCTGGCTCCTCACTATTTATATCACTGATACTGCTGTGAACGCTGCGTTCTTCCATTTTGACCGTTTCGTTACAACATCAGGACGCCCGTCGTCGTCGTCGTCGTCGTCGCCGTCGTTGTTGTCCGTTAGCTGAACTTGTACCTCGCGAATATATTTCGCGATAACGATCAACAAATATATATGTATATTTATACTTGTTAGCTTGTAATTAAAAAAAAAACTTTTTACTATATATTAACTATTTTAATTAAAAATATATGCCACAATATACTCCACTTATATATTTTATATTTATCACTTAAAATCCATTATAAATTATAAATATTTATTTATAAATCCACCATTATTAATAATAATAAATACATTTTATTACTCCCGCCTTGTTACACTGACGTTACTTTTGTATTATACACACTCAACAACTGGCAACTATATCTATATAGTTACATACATCTATGTACTATATATGTAGTTAAATTATTACTTATAACTATATAACTATAACTTAAAACAGCGAGGAGTCAAGTTTATAAATGATAGAGTGAGACACCAAAAGCACTCGGAGCACTCGGAGGGAGTTCACTGAAAAACTTTCTCACAAGCTTGTCTTGCCACTACAAAATTGTTAAAAAAATTATTTCTTCCCTCTCTTTCTCTCTAGCACTTGTTTTTTAAAATGGAATTAATGTGTAACAAAGATGTAAATAGTTCGTACACTCACTCCTGATTCACGAAGACCAACAATACGATACAAAACATAAACCACATTTTTTTTTCGCCATAGCTAAGTCACTAGGCTTCATTGGCATTGCAGCGACATCTATACTCGGTGGTTTAAATAAAACGGGGGAAAAAAAAATTAATTTAAACATAGTAAAGTTAGCCGACATTTTTCATTTTTTTATTTTGCTTAATTTATTAATTTATAACTAAAAAATATTTTTTAAAAATTGCACTTAAAGTTTTTGAAATTTTTAACAAATTAAAAAATTTTTTTTTATTTTTTTTTAATAATTCTTTAATACAAAAAAAATCATATAAATTTTTAGATGTCGGCTAACTTTATGTTCATATTAGAATGAAAATTAATTTAGCAGATATTTAATAATTTTTTTAACAAATAAATTATGGCAAAAAAAAATTGACATGTAGAAATTTAAAAAAATTAAAAATGCAATTTTTTT